TATATTTCAGCTGAATAAAAAGACCCAAGTGATATTATAACAAAAAACACTCATTTATCTTACCCCCTCCTCCAAAGCTACAATTGAGCCAGGTGCAGTTATTTCTTTGTTTATAAAGTAACAAAATATGTTAGAACTACTATAATAATAGTTTTCTAGAATTTCCATAAAAATCTCTTTCAAGAGTTTTTCATTTTTGCTAAATTTCCATTCAGTCAAGTTTACCTAAAGCTAATGGGGTAATAACTTCTGCGGAAATTTAGGGTTTCCATTGTGAAAGTTCCTGTGTCTGCTTTAGAAAAGGAAAGATGTGAACATGTTATGTACTCCTTTGTCTTGAAAAACTTTATTGTACGTTACGTGAACAGAGAGCAACCCAAAGCAAGAATGAGAAGATTGGAGCAAGTCATAATTTCATTGTTGATAGAAAACTTCCCTCTCTGTTAAACATTGTGGGGGGAAAATATATCTTGCCTATGTTTATCTGCATTCCATCATGTTAAAAATGCTAGGGCAAAAATTTAAACACTAATTAGTCCTATTCATATTTCACCAAAGTTTAATTTATTCACAATGAAAGAACTTTTTGTTTTTTATTAGAATAAATAGCCATATTACTATTTACTGTTAGCATTTTTAGCTATGTGGTGTTATATGTGCCTTATACTTCTCAATTCTAAATCTCAGCCCTAAAAATCAACTTAAAATTTTGGGTGTTTTCCACTGTTGCATTTATCAGTTTTCTGGCTCAAAGATGTTTTTGTGGGTAATTAGAATAAAAACTAACAGATGAATGTCTTTGCTTTTCAAAAAGGGAACTAGCTGTGAGGCACATTCCTTATTAATTGCTGAAAAAGGGATAGCATTGAGAGCAGGATCCTAATACGTCCTTTGAGAATCTCTAGCAATCAGCTGAATTCTATTACTCTTAACTGTGGGCAGGCATTGGGATCCTTTTTATGCTACTGTGTTGTGGAAAACTGCATTTTCAGTTCCTAGTGGGCCTTCTAAGGGAAATCCTCCTTGCCAAAGAATTGTGTTTATGTTTTAGTTTGACTTTCATTTTACTTTATCTGAAGATGGTTTTGCCATACCTGAAGGTTCACAAAAAGGTGATTTTAAGTGTTTAGGTGAATTATCACTGGGATGTGGGCTCACCCAATTTAGTGTGTGCATAACACACATGCCTGTTTTGTCTGAAACATTGCATAGGACATACTTAACACTAAAATATTATTTGTTTTTTATCTGAAATGCAAATTTAACTGGGCACCCAGTATTTTATTTGGCAGACCTACTAGGGTAACTGTATAACATCATCCAAATCATGACACTTTTCAGAGTGAAATGGGCACTTTTTTTTTATTAATTCTTACCAGATGTTTATTGATTTGAGAGAGAGAGGAGGGAAGAAAGGGAGGGAGGGAAACATTGATGTGAGAGGGAGGAAGGGTGTGGGGGAAAGAGAGGAAAAAGAAAGAAAGGAAGAAACAATGTGAGAAAAAAACATCAATCAGTTGCCTCTTATACTTGCCCAGACCAGGAATCAAACCTGCAACCTAGGTATGTCCCCTGACCAAGAATCGAACCCACAGCCTTTTGGTATGTGAGATGATGCTCCCATCAACTGAGCCACCTGGTCAGGGCTGAAATGGGGCACTTTTAATAATTATGCAAGGACAAAGGCAGAAATTGGGACTGTTGTGGGAAAACTGGAAAGTATGTTCAACTTAATAATAGGGTGTTTGAAAGTATTTTTAATTATTGATTATAGATTTGCATAAGCAATCATATCTCTCTGTCATTAATTTGTATAGCTATGAATATAAATATAAAGTGTATTGCTTTATAATTCCATCTGTAAAATTTGATTAAGCTACCGTAAAAGCTGTGGTGGCCTAACTGCTAGTTCAACCTTGACATTTTCTTTTTTTGGAATAGTTTGAGAAGGATTGGTATTTTTTAAATAACAATTTTAAAGAGAATTAAAGTTCACTTTTGTAAGCACTAGTACATGAGACTTTACAGTTTACATTTTTAAATTTTTTCTTCTTTCTTTACATTACCTATATGTATATTTTACCATCAGCAGCTATAACTTAAGAAATTCATGTGTTTTATGCCTTGTATTTGGCTTAATTCTTCTCTTTTAACCTACTTACTTTTTGTTTTGGGGTATTTAATAAATACAGTAGTCCCCCCTTATCTGCAGAGGCTATATTCCAAGACCCCCAGTGGATGCCTAAAACTGTGGCTAGTATCAAACCCTATATATACTTACCTATGATAAAGTTTAATTTATAAATTAGTCACAGCAACAGATTAACAACAATAAATAATAAAGTAGAACAATTATAACAATATACTATGATAAAGTTACATGAATGTGGTGTGTGTGTGTGTGTGTGTGTGTGTGTGTGTGTGTGAGATAACTGGTCTGAGAACTAAGAGGACTGCCCAGTGACCAGTCAGGAAGCTCAGACCGACAGCACGGGTATGCTGGGTAAAAGGATGATTCACGTCTTAGGTGGGACAGAGTGGGACAGTGTGAGATTTCATCATACTAAAAATGGTGCACAATTTAAAACTTATGAATTGTTTATATCTGAATTCCCCATTTAATATTTTTGGACCAAGGTTGTTTGTGGATAACTGAAACCACAGAAAGGGAAACTGCAGATAATCCGTGACTGCGATAACCTATTATTCATATTCAGCTTAACCTTAATTTGTATTCCCTTTTATCTTACCATGCTCAACCTAACTTCATTCTAAAAATTTATCATAAGTATTTGAGTACCTGCTACGTGGCAGCCACCCTGCTGAGTGCTATGGTAAATAGGACATGGAATGTCACTTGGCCATGTCCTCTAGGAGTTTAAAGTCTGGGCTTAATATGGTTGTCTCTCCACCGCTTTGCATGTCTCCACTGGTCTTTTCTCTGTCTCCTTCAGCCCTGCACCTCTTTTGAAATATGATCATTATTAGCATGTCAGGAATAGGTGTACCATGATTTCAACTGGTAATTGTGTTTTTTGTTTTATCCCAACATTTCTTTAAGGCACAAGATTTTATTGGAGTTTTATCTAAATTAATGAGATGTCTTCAGGAAACAGCTTATAACTTCTAGATAATTTTCCTGTCTGGTAATTTATAGGTTGGAATAAAAGTGTATCAAAGTCCAGTACTTGAACTGCCTAGAACCTTTGAACGATGAGTTGACCCACATTACAGTTTTCCAGATTCTTCCACCTGTTAACACTTAACAGGATTAATGTCTGTTGCCTCTAAAGGAAAAATTTTCTTTAAAAGTATTTTCTTGTTTTGAGTGTCAACACTTGTTTTATATAATAATATTGGTTAATTATTTTAATATATATTTCACATTGCCTATTTTTGTTATTTTGAAAAGATATAAAATTATTTCTACACTATACTCACATGGTAAAAATTCATATGGTATAAAAGTATATATAGTTCAAAGTCATCCTGTCTCCTCAGCCTATTCTCCTTATAACCAGTTTTTTACCAGCATTTTGTATATCCTTCCAGAGATTGCATGTACAGATCATTATTTTTATATATTCTTTTATCTTTTCACACAAATGGTAACACCATACACAGTTATGCACTTTACTTTTTTCATTTAACTGTATTTTGGAGATTATTCCTTATCAGAACATAAAGAGTCTTATTTGTTTTTTACAGCTGCATAGTATTCCATGTTACAAGGCCTCTACTAATCACTCTTTTATTGGTTTCAAATGGTGGTGTAAACAGAGCTTGGCGAATAGCTTCATAACATGCCTCGTGCTGCACGTGTGCAGCTCAGTTGGCACAAGTGTGTATGTCATTCCTAGAAGAGGAATTCCTGGGTCAGAGCATACTCATGTACACTTGTATGCATAAAAATGTGTTTGCTTTTATTTAATCTCAAGGTAATGCATGTTTGTGCTTAAAAACTTAAAACATTTCAAACATTACCAAAAAGAATAAAGTGAAAAATAAATTCTCCAAGTTCCTAGTCCCACTTCCAGATGTAAGACTTTCTTATCTATCTTTCTTGTAGTTATCAATTTGCCTATTTTTTCTTTTTTATATATAAATTGTTGTATGGTATCCCATTATATGTGTATATCATAATTTATCCATTAAGTTCCTTATTGGTGAACATTTAAGATGTCTCTAGATCTTTTTGGTACTACAGACAAAGCTGCAGTGAAAAACCTTCTAGATGTCTTTGCATATTATGGGTGCGTTTTTACTAGATCGATTCCTAGAATCAAGGAACACATGCATTTTAAATCGTGACCAGTTTTGCTTACTGCTCTCCAAGAAGATAGTTCCATTTGATTCTTCCACCAGTGTGTACTTGCTGATCCTGGCTATTATCCAACTTATTAATCCTTGCCAATTTAGTAAGGGCCCAAAAGAAATTTTATTCTTATTGAATTTCTTGTATTTTGATAAATTGGCCATTTCTGTTTATTTTCTGTATATTAGTATTTATGACCTTCATTTTTCTAATGGGTTGTTCACTTTGTTATGATTTGTTAAGTGTACTCATCTATTAGGAAATTAGTCTGTCGTCATGTATGTTACAAGTATTTTCTCAGTTTTTCCCATGTGTACAGTCTATAAGTATACATAATTTGACCCTAAAGAGATGAGGGGAGGGTGGGGAGTGGTAGGAGTGAATTAGTGGGGGATTCAGATCAAACTACTAAATGCTTTTTGAATAAATAAATATATATTGTACATATATATAGTATATCTGAAACTAATGTAAATTTATTTATGTCATTATACTTCAATTTAAAAAATGTTCTATATTAAACTATTTTTAAAAATTTAAAGAAAAACAACAAAAATGATATACTGCTTTTACCTTCTAAGAGAAAAGGAGATCTAAATACATAAAAGATTGTACAGTATTTAGTTGGTGCGAGGTATAATAACCATGCTGCAAATGCATTTGTTTTTCATATATTTCCCTTCAGAGGTTTTATCAGCTATGATTAGTGTGCTGTTGGTATATATACTTATGGGATTCCTCCTGTATGAAGCTGTCCAAAGAACTATCCACATGAAATATGAAATAAATGGAGATATCATGCTTATTACTGCAGCTGTTGGAGTTGCCGTTAACATAATGTAAGCTCTGGTTGTTGGGTTTTTTTTTTAACAAATGTAATAGGCTTTACTCTTTAGAGCAGTTTTAGGTTCCCAGCAAAATTAAGAGGAAGGTACAGAGATTCCCAAACACCTCCTGCCCCCACACATGCACAGCTCCCCCATTATCAACATCCTGCGCTAGAGTGCTGCATTTGTTACAGCTGATGAACCTATGCTGCACATCGTAACCACCCAAAGCCCATGGTTTATATTAATGGTTTTGGACAAATGTACAATGACATGTATCCACCATTGTAATAGCATACACTCTACATCATTCTAACATCAATATTCTCAAATAGTGGGAACTTAGAGACTGTTATACATGCATTTAGTAATAGTGATATTTTCATATCTTTATAGATTATACAGTACATCAGTTTTTCTTATAAATGTTAATAAAACACTGTTGAAATTATAAATTCCTCATTAGTTTGCTCAGATATGCTAAAGTTTGACTAATAATCAGGAATTTAAATAAGACAAAGTTTTTTTTTTATTTAATTTTTAAAATATTTTTATGTTGAGATTTTTTAAACTACCAACTTTTTTCCTAAAAACTATGGTCCCTGTAAAGGGCCAGATACTAAATATTTAGGACTTTAGAGCCATACAGTTTCTTTGGCAACTACTCTCCTATTATAGAACAAAAGCAGCCCACATTCATTATGTAAACAAAGGAGCATGCCTGTATTCCAATAAAGCTTTATTTACAGTCCTGGCTGGGTGACGTGGTTGGTTGGAATGTTGTCCCACACACCGAAAGTTTGCAGGTTCCATCCTCAGTCAGGGCACATACCTAGAGCGCAGTTTCAATCCCTTGTCCATGCACATAGGAGAGGCAGCCCACTGATCTTTCTCTCCCCCTCTCCCGGCCCTCCTTGTCTGTCTCTAAAATCAATAAGCATATGCTTGGGTGAGGATTTTTTTAAGTTTATTTATAAAAACAGGCTGTAAAAAAAGGTTTGTTTACAAAAACAAAAATTATTTATAGTCCACAGACTGTGGTTTGGTAGTCCCTGTCTAGTGGCTTCCATTCACACTTAGAATAAAATCAAAAGTCCTTACTGGCCTTTTTAATAAGATCCTATATACTGCTCCAGCTCACCTGCTGGCATTACCGCTCACTTTATTCTAGCCAAAATGGCTGCCCTGCTTTTTTTTTTAAGCACATGGAACACATTTGCATCTCAGGGCCTTTGCCCTGGCCTGCTTCTCCCTAGAACACTCTTCCACCACCGCTTGCTTCTGAACTTCATTCAAGTCTCTGCTCAGGTGGAGTCTCAGACTGTGCTCTCCTGACTGCTCTCCCAGTCACTCTCCATCCTCTTGCAGGGTTTTCCTTTTTTTCTTCAAAGCATTCTCCTGGCCCAACAGTGCATTAGGAATTTATTTGTGTACTCCTCTGCCTTCCCTGCTGGAACAAGCTTTATGGGGATAGGGATCGGTCTGTCTCATTCACTCTTTTGACCCCAGCACCTAACGTAGTACCAGATGCATGAAAAGTGCTCAAATATTTAGTAAATGAATGAGTTCCATGTTGCCTCATTCATGTCTGGTTAGTCACAAATATTTTTATCAATAGTGTAGGAAGAATAATAATGTTTTCTTTTATTTTTAACAGAATGGGGTTTCTGTTGAACCAGTCTGGTCACCATCATGCCCATTCCCACTCCCTGCCTTCAAATTCTCCTACCACAGGTTCTAGATGTGGACACCACCACGGGCAGGATAGCTTGGCAGTGAGAGCGGCATTTGTTCATGCTTTGGGGGATTTGGTTCAAAGTGTTGGTGTGCTAATCGCTGCATACATCATACGATTCAAGGTAATGTGATTGCTAATTTTTCTATTTTAAAATACATTTAATTTCAACATTAAAATGAAAGGTGATTTTCTTTTATCAGTATAGTGGATACCAGGGACAGTCCTACTCAGTTTGCGTCTGTGCAGGCCTAACTGAGCCGCCAGTCCATGTGGCTCTTTTGTCAGCACTAAACACAATAGTTCTCACATCACGAGGTCACTTATCTGTAACTGGCTTTGGTAGTGCCTTCTCTGGAGAACTCAAGTTTAAGCTCTGTCCCTGCCCCACAACTCTAAACTTGATCTCCCTCCTCTTTAAAATGGGAGGGGGGGCCTTAAATCTGAGGGATGACTTCTAAAATCTTTCTAGCTCTGATATTCTATGGTTCTGGGTGGAAAATTTAGAGAAGGCACAGAGGAAAATAATAGAACAAACCATTCGACTTCTGAAAATAGATCCCATGAGGAAAGATACTTAAATAATCTCGGAGTTTCTCAATTGCAATATCCAAGTTTTAATGAAAGAACAGACCATAGAGTAGGCCTTACTGTGTTTACAGTCTGTCCCATGTCTGTCAGTAGTTAACCACACAATGTTTATCTATCCCCTTACAGCCAGAATACAAGATCGCTGATCCCATCTGTACATATGTGTTTTCCTTACTTGTGGCTTTTACAACATTTCGCATCATATGGGACACCATAGTTATAATACTAGAAGGTAAGATCTCACTAATATCCCCACTGCAGATTTATTACTCCCCTAAGTCAGATTGGGGGCGGGAGGGGACACTCTGAGGCAAGAGCCATGTCTTGTCTTGTCTTTTTTTTGACTGATACTTATTAGGCTATAGGAACACCACCTTATGTATACATAATATATATGAATCCACGCTCTCTCCTATATGTTACCCACTTGACCCTTATAATAGCTAACAAAAGAAGGAAAGACAGACATCACTGTCCCCTTTTACCAACAAGAAAGCCGAGGTTCAGAGGCGGTTCAGAGGGGTAGCATAACTTGCCTAAGGCCATGCTGCTAATAAACTGTGGCATGAGGACAAGAATGAAACTCTTGATTCTAATGCAAGTATGTTTAGTAATTTATTTATTAATTTCTTAATTTCAATTTAACTTGCTACTTTGTTATACTTTCTGTATCTCTCCCTGCCTTACTAATATTATGGATAAGCGTGTAAATTTAAGTTCTCAACAGCAGGTTAATCATCATTGGATGTTCCTTTTTCTTTTTTTTTTTATCCTAGCTTATTTGTTAAATGAAGTATTCTGGATTGGTTAGCATTCCTTTTTAGCGAGAATGAACAGTTCTAAAATATTTATTAGCCTTTTGCATATATACTGCTATATGTGTGCATGGTTTATCTTAAAAGTATTCATGTATTTTAATGTGAAGTGAATTTGGCAAAGCTAGTTGGGTTTTTTTTTGGGGGGGGGGGGAATCCTACCAGTAACGTATAACTTTTTCTCCAAAATAAACTTTACTTATAATTGATATATTCTGAATTAATAGGTGTACCAAGGCATTTGAATGTAGAGTATATCAAAGAAGCCTTGATGAAAATAGAAGATGTTCATTCAGTGGAGGAATTAAATGTCTGGTCTCTCACTTCGGGAAAACCCATGGCCATCGTACACATACAACTAAGTATGTGGCTGGTGGTAACTACTGGGGTGGGTGGGCTTCTGTCTTTGGAATTAAACATCTGTGCTTATAGTTAAATAGGAAGACCTTTCTGCTGGAAAGAGTTGTTGTAAGAGAGGTGTGGGTTCTTCAGAAAAGTGAGTTGCAGGTCAGTATTTATAATGGATCAATAATTTTTTCTCTCTTTGAGATGAAACCTTACAAATAAACTTTTGCCTTCAGATTAAAGGCATTAAGTATATGCCCTAGCCAGATGGCTCAGATGGTTGGAGCATCATCCCACCAAAAGGTTGAGTGTTTGATCTCCAGGCAGGGCACATACCTAGGTTGCAGGTTCAATACCCAGTCAGGGCATGTGAGGGAGGCAACCAATTGATGTCTCTCTTTCATGTTGATGTTTTCCCCTCACATCTCTCCCTCTCTCTCCCCCCACTCCCCCGCTCTATAAAATCAATAAAACATATCCTCAAGTGAGGATTTAAAAAAATAAAGGCATTAAGTATATTTACCATGCTTTTTCTATACATGAAAAGCTAGAGCCTATGTTTTTATTTCTGTAAATCATTTCACAGATGACTGCTTTTTACTTTTTATCAAAATAATACATGCATGAGATTTCTTTTTTTAAGTACAAAAGATGAAAGACTTGTAATTAATGTCTAGATTTCTTTCTCTACCTGAGAGTGAGCTGGAGAGATTGGGATAATGAGAAGCCTATCTGGCTTTGTAAATTGACACACTTCTCTAACAGAATAACTTCAAGAGGGTAGGAATCAAACTAATAAAAATATGTTCACAGTATCCTAAGCTTGTTTTTCCTGTGTCTTATTCAGTAATGTGTGATGTACAATGAATAGTAACAATATTTTCTTGACATTGCAGTTCCTGGAAGTTCATCTAAATGGGAGGAAGTACAGTCAAAAGCCAAGCATTTATTACTGAGCACGTTCGGTATGTATAAATGTACTGTTCAGCTTCAGAGTTACAGGCAAGACGTGGACAGAACTTGCGCAAACTGTCAGAGTTCTGGTTCCTAATTTTAGATGTTTGGGGGACGATTGCCTTACTCACCCTGCAGTCACAGACGTGAGAGCAATAAGTGCACACCTAAGTGAGAACATGGGATTCCTGACAGCTGTGTCCATGCCACTCACCGATCTGCCAGCCTGCAAGTGCTCGTCTCTGTTGATGGGAAAAGGAGACTCCACCATGATTTGTAGATGAAGATGTTTCCAAAACATTGTTTACAGGATGAGATGTGACTCCACAGATACCTCAGAGAAGACAATCCAAGACCATACTTCATTAATTACAGCAGAGTGTATGTCATAAAGGAAGCATCAAGAATTCTGTATTCACATTCAAAAACCCTTTTTAAAGCCCATTTTATATCAAGCCATGCTGGAAAACTGAATTTTTTAAAACATAATCTTGACACTCAGCTTCTGGAATTTGACACCCAACTCTCTTTTTACAGAAATTATTTCTCAACAGATTTCAGAAAGTACTAGTAATTATCCAGAGTGGAATAAGCATGTATTCCATAGTGTTTCAGAAAAGTTTTATTTCACAAATAAGTCTTAATGTTATTGTGATACCTTATAAACAAATTTTTCCAAATGTTACAGGGTTCTGAATCTCAAAGTTAACACTTTTGGTTATTTGTAATCTTATCAGAACCAAATTTTTGTCACTGTCATTAAATTGCTAAGGAAACATTTTCAGTATTATTCTGAATGGCAGAAGTTAGTCTTAAACTGAAATTACTATATGATCATTTAAACAAAATATAGGTGCGAGGATGGGGTATGAAGTTTCAGATTTAGGTCTTCTTGAAATTACTTTTATTGTTCATGGAATTTATCTTAAGAACAGCGTGAGACTGTAAAACGTAAACGATGCTCTGTCCTCTTAAGAACTACCTTACGTTTTATACAGAAGGTTTGCTTGGTACCTTTCTTCCTGCCTCCATGCCAGTTAGTCTGTGTGTGCACTTTCAGGGTGGAGCTCTGTGGGGGCTAAGGTTCAGTTTGGGGTACCCGCCTCTCAAATGTAGATTAACTGCGTTCCGCCAGGGAGAGTTTCTGTTTGATGATACGGGTTAGGGGTTCTCCATGGACTGTGGAAACCATAAGATATAATTTTGAGGTTTTCCAATAGTACCATAGTAGAAATACCAAAAGAGATTGGGTAAAGATATTACTCTGAGAAGACAAAACCTTTAAGGGTTTTTGACTCGTGTGTGTGTGTGTGTGTGTGTATTTGTGTTTTAAAGCCCCAGAGTAGGATGGACATTAAATCTGTGTGGTAGGGAGGTTGAGCATAAAAGTCTCTAAGCAGAAGGCAACCTAATTAATAACAGTTGTATTAACCAGTTGTGAATATTCATGTTTCATTTTGCAACTGTTGGTTTTGCTGTTGTCTTTGTGCACCTTAATAATCTATTTTCAGCAGAGAATCAGAGTAAAGTAACAATGTCCCAGACAGGTTGTGAAATGAAATCTTAGATAGACAAGCAGATGACTTAAAACATAGGTGAAGATTATGAAACAGATTTCATCTTTCTACCAAGTATCTCACTGTAAGTAACCCTAAGACAAAACCTGGATTTACCTAAAAGATTGTTAAGAGTTGATGGTATCCAACAAAAGAGTTGATGAGGGTTAATGGTACCTAATAAAGCCCAGCATTGGTGAATTGAATGGAAAATTTTATAGAATTCTTATTATGAACCCATTTAAAATAATGGTTTGAATTTTTCAAAAATTTCAGGAGATATAAACTGTTTAAATAAAAAATACTCTTAAATATAGAAGGCAAGTAAGAATAAATGAGAGGCATGTCAGTGCACATCCGGGCATCTATTGACTTTGTGTCCCTGCAAGAGAAAGGAGGAGCATGTGCAGTGTGTGGTCGTGGCTGCTCCCACACCTGCAGTCGTTTCCCACATCTGCTGAGCTTGTTTCTCGTTACCAGTCCTTTATCTAAAGTGGGTATGTCTCACTTTTCACATCAACCTGTCCCTTGAAAAGTTATTGGGTAAAAGTCTAAAATCCATTTGAGGATTGAAAAGGATCCCTTTGTAAAATATATAAACACTGAAAACTTCTGTGAGTCTTAATTATTATGTTCTATTTAAATTAAGTACACAAAGTTTTCTGTGCTTTTTTCTTGTAGCAAGAACTACAGATTTTGTACTTTACTGGGTCTGTGAGATTTGATAATTGACAGATTTAATTTTTTATAATTTGACAAAAGCTGCAGAGAAAGGTGTAAACTTAACCGATGCAAGCAGGGACTGCCCAGCTTATGAAACAGAGCCTTCGATCTGTCCTCCAGCCACCGAGGGCCAGCCCCCAGCTCCACTCCTCAGCCAGCTCTCAGAGGAAGGGCGGTCCATGCACCACGGTTCATTTTGCAACTGTGAAAACAGATCATAACATAAAAACCGGGCCGCTCTGCAGTGCAACATGTTTTAATTAACATTTGCAAATGATCAAAGTTAGTTGTATACCTAAACCTGTGTTTCACAACTCTGGCCAGATGTAGCCTTCTGATTTATTTTAGGGAAAGGCCTATTGTTTGTTGATGACCGTGCTGCCTTAGAAGTACAATGTGGGGAATACAGTTGAAGGAGGCATATTTCAGAGAACTTTGAAATGCAGAACCAGAAGTGACTGTAATTCCCACATACACTTTCCATTAGCTATGCCTGTGTAACATGAGCCCAGATTTTCACAGCTTGTGGCTCCCAACAGTATTATTTACCAACTCACTGGATTTCTTATTTTTCTGTTTCTTTTTCAATGTTGGATGCTTTATTGCCATTTTCTAAAACAAAGTTTCCTGATCTTAGGAGTCTTGGTATTCTGGTTCAGTCTCTCGAACTAGATGTCCCCACAGACAGTGTTTATCTTTGGTAGAATTTTCCCAGAATAGACATAAGCTTCCCTTTTATTTTAATGTGAGGAAAAACCATCTTTCAGAGACAATGCACCACTTATAAAAGGGTACATTGTCTTATAAAAGTGTTTCTAGGTAAGGAAAACCTTTTTTTTTTACCAGCTGGCTGTTCCTGATCCGGGTTCCCTGCGCACTAAATAAGGGCGACAGAAACTGACTGTGAGGACTGCGCAACCGCACGCGAGGGTCGCTGCTAGTGCGGCCCTGGGTTGCGTTTCTCCAGCAACCACTCCCGCTGTTCTAGGAGAGATCATCATTCACTTCTGAAGCAAGCACAATTAGCTAGATATATTTTCTTTGTATGATTAGTTCATCATAATGAATAAGGTATTCTTACAGAATTTGAGCCCCTTTAAAATAAGCTTTTAGGCAATTTTTTTTGTTGACTATACCTTGCATATAGTAAATTTAGCATTACAGAATATGTTCATATGTATAGGATCAGTTCACAAATCCTTGGTTCAGTTTGTCTTTGAACTGCACTGAACTCATGAGCCACGTTTGGGTATTAGTCACATGGATAGTGACACCCTGCTGTATGCTGTGTTGAGAGGAGGCAGGTCTGATCTCCAAGTCACTGATTAAGCTTAATATCTTTCTAACCAAAATACCATTTGTAAACTTGAACTGCAGATCTGTTAGGTGACTCCCCCCAGGCAGGGGTTCAGGTTTGTTTCACAGATCAGCAACCAGGGATATTGGTGGTGGTGGTGCTGGCGGGAGCACGGAAGTTGGAGAGAAGAAACTGGGAGTTCCACAGCGTTGACTTGTGTCTGTGCATTAGGGCCGGCCTGTCGCTGAATTCTGGCTGACAGTGGGTTTAACCCATTCTTCTAATCATACTGTGAGGACCAACCAAAGGTTTCTGATTTTCTGCAAGACTGGAAAACATTTATGGAGACTTTCTCTGACAGTGTCAATTTAAATACTGCAGTGAAATCCATGCTGAAATAACTGCAACAGAACATTGGACTGTGCCGGTGCGTCCTCTTTGTACTGGAAGATACTGTGTATCTGGAAAGCCGTGCTGCCCCATGTAAACACGAGTTATTAAGTAAGCCATATCATAGTTTTAAGAAATTGTATATACTTTTACATCTACCCTTTCAGAAACCAGTATTTTGCATATGATTGATTTTAGAAAGTTTTTGAAGCTGGTGTTTGTCCATGTAATTTAAAATCAAAGTATAGTATATGTATATGTACTGTATTTGCAACTTTTAAATTGTAATTTCCTGTACATTTATTAAATAAAGTATTGTTTTGCCATGTGGTTTATTAGAATAGAAATGTACAGTCCCTTAAATTAAATTTCCAAGTTTTTTAATTGACGGAGTAATAGTAGTAGGTCTTAAAACATAATCTTCTTAAAAAGAAAAGCACTAGGAAATAGATAACCTATCTAGTTTTATAATCTCAGGTTACAACACCACCTTAGGTGTCTAAGAAATGAGCCTGAAAAAAATCAGATAGGATAAAAGATATTAAAAGAATCTTCATCTTTTTAGGTTCTATCAGTCACTTTTAATGTCCCTCTAGCCCCTGCAACACCGGCAGAAAGAACAAGAAGCCCCAGAAAAAGTAAGATGGGTGAGGACCGCTGCGAAGCCAGAAAGCAATGAGCCGATGTCCCGAGAGTGTGGCTAGGGGTCGGCAAACCGTGCCTCGCAGGCCAAGTCTGGCCTACAGCCTGTCCTGTGTGGCCCAAAGAACTGAGAATGGTTTTTACATTTTAAAATGGTTTTTTAAAAATAATAATATTGTATGATGTGAAAATCCTATGAACTTTAAATGTCAAAGTCTGTAAATAAAGTGTCACTTAAACACAGCCACACTCATGCGATCATACCACATATCGTCTGGCCGCTGTCATGCTGCGGTGGCAGAGTAGTTACAGAAGTATGAAACCTGTATCATCGGTCCCTCCACAGGAGAAGGTTGGCCGCACATGGTGTCACTGTTGAAGGCTGTCGCCGCGTACTTAGATGCAGCAAGCCCTTCAAGAGCCCACTTAGAGGTTGTTGGACTGGTACTTCTGAAGCTACCTGAGTCAGCAGAGGTTCTTTTCTTCCCTTGACCTTTTTTCTTTTCTTTATCCCCCTTGGAGTTTGGGGAAGAAATATAGGAGAAGAGTAGCAACATTTCAAATATGACCTATGTACCATATGCTGCACCTAACGTTCACTAGCAAAGCAGCTTCCTACCCAGAACACCACGATCACAAGAATCATGTAACAATGCTTTTCATAATAAAGCTTTATTCCCTTGATTTTTGGAATTTTTCACTAAAGTTATAACCAAAATAAAGGAAATAAAAATGTATGTTGAGTACCTTATGTAGTTTGTGCCAACTGAAAGCTCACAAATGAAAAATAACATTTTATCTGTTAAATAAGATGAAAATTGGTTGTGAGGCTTTTAAAATGGTTTTTTAAGTTTTCTAGTTACCTAGGAAAAGACAACTATTTTTGCAAATAGTAATAAAATTAAGTTTTAGTTAAGTTATAGTAGCAAATAAAGAGATGTCGCATGTTGTTTATCTGCCCAGCTCTATTTCTATTTTGATGTGTCATTTTTTTGGTTCACGTCAGATGCTAAAATAAAGGGTAACAGCCTTGCAAGCTTTGTTTATGCTAAACTTTTGGCTTTATTTAATATATTAGTAGAATTATGTTTTGTTATAATTCAGTTTCAGCTATGATCTATCATCATTGCTATGAGCTATAAAATACACTGAGTGTAAAGAAGAAGTGTGAAGCCTTGTGACGAGATGTCATCTCTACATGGATCCTGTGTTTAAGATTAGGAGGCTTAAAAATTCAGCCTCAGTGAAATATCACTGAAAACCATATCATTTTCTAGCAGCATTGTGGTTTAAGGCTCTCATGTGACTTTTAAAGAACAAACTGTAAAGTTTGCCCTATGGTTATCACCCAATAAAACAAAGATTGTACTCTGTAAGTTACCAAATAGCTTTCATGTCTGCTGTCCTCAACTTTTCAAAAACTTGTTCTGGTTAGACTTTCAAATTCCTCTTGTCTGCATTTCACTTGCCAGCTTCAGCACATTGTCTTGTAGGTTTTTTTAAAAAAAACACTTTTGTTCACTTTAACAAAATGCTGACACTATGGGAAAAAATGTGTGGGGGCTGGTTTTTCTCTGAAATATATTGAGCTATTTCTTGGTAAGAGAGGAGGATTTTTTTTTTAAGTAGGAAATTTTTAGCCCTGGCTGCTGTGGCTCAGTGGATTGAGCATGGGCCTGAGAGCCAAGGGGTTGCCGGTTCAATTCCCGGTCAAGGCCACATCCCCAGTGCAGGGGTGCATGAGAGGCAGCCACACATTGATGTTTCTCTCCCTCTCTTTCGCCTTCCCTTCCCCTCCCTCTAGGAATAAATAAATAAAATCTTTTTTTAAAAAAGTAGGAAATGTTAAATAGACCACATGAGAGCAAGGCCAGCCCTAGAACAACACAGACTCCTATTCCCTCAGCTTTCCTAGGACTGACTCTCTGACCCCACCCTCCTCTGTCACCTCCGCCCCACCTCCTTTCCAGAGGAAACCTGCTATCAGGAAAATGGTCACAGGGATGTTTGCCTCTGAACGGTGATGACAGTGATGACGGTCAATGTCTGACCTCGGTCAAGGCACAACAGAAGCATAGTGAAGACGAGAGCTTCCTGCCCTCTGCTCGCTAATCCGTCAGACTCACCTGGGAAAGCCGCAGGGAAAGCCACAGGGAAAGCCTGGGTCTGACAGGCTCCTCACCAGTGACAGCGTGACTGGAGTTTCGGGATAATCAGAACACAAGCCTATTCCACCCTCTCTTTGCTTTTTTGTGTAAGGATATTTTCCAAAGTCCAGGACTTTTTTAGACCCCTAAGGAAAAGTATTATAGAATGTATAATGTTTGGCCATCAATATATATATTTGATTTTAGAATCATTCTCATCTTTAAGACACCAGAATCCTGAAACTGGGACATCTCAAAAAGTTGGCTCAATGACTAGACATGGTTTTCTCTTAAGTGGATTGAGACCAGTCCCAAATGCCATCCATCGTATTCAACCAAGAATTGACCTTTGAAGGCCACCTCCCTCCCACTGAACATGTTATAGAATAAAACACAAAATTCCTATGTGTTTTTAAAATTAAACAGGAAATGAAACAATATTAGTTTGGGGGGAATATCTCGGGCCATAACCTCACCCCTCACACTCATATCATGGACGGCTTAAGCTGTGGCCTATAGGATAAAGTCCATCTTCTTGGTCATGGCATACAAAATCCTTTTGATCTGGTAACTGCTTGCTTCTCCACCCACAGTTCCATCCTCTCCACCACCACTATCCTGCCTCCCACGCATCAGCCATGCCAAACTACAGTCCACTTTTGGTTTACAGGATAAATAATAATTGTTAACATCTATTGAACCCTTATTATATTTCAGATACTGCGTTGTGCCCTTTATATGTATTATTTAATCTCAAGATGGTACCTTGAAGAACATTATAATCTTCATTTGCAAAATAAGAAATGATCCAGAAGTTCAGTGACTTGCCCAGAGTCAGAGTGGTAGAGTTGCATCACAGAAATAGAAGGTCACAGACAACTCTTAAGTATAGTTAGTAAAACTAGTAAATGTGTTAATACAAAAAGGAACCAATGTAGACTAGTGTAGTTAAAATCACAAGCAATGTTTTAGGTAACAGGTGTGTAAAAGTAATGGAAGTATAATAGTTTAGGAGCACTCAACTTTATGTAATTATGTGTGTGCTTGGTGAAAGAATAGCTCAAAGCTTACTGTTTCTTAATTGAGGCACCAGAACAGTACTCGATTTCACTGCCTCCATTTGACCAAACTATCTTCCCTAAAGTCACTGGTGTTCTCCTAAAAGCCCTGAACTTATTTCAGCCCTTCAAGTTATTATTCCCTATGAGGATCACTGAAGAGGGGAAAAAGTCTAAACGAAATGTGTGCATAGGGCAAGAATTCTGAGGGTGAAGAAAGACAGGCAGGCCCCTCGGGGAAGAATCTGAAATATGTAGCGATATGTTGCAGCCCACGCCTGCTTTTCTCCTGTCCTGAGTTTCTGTCTACTCGCTATATTCTTCTGGTAAGGAATCCCACTTTATCTTTCCACCTTTGACTTTTTAATTTTTTTACTTTACAACTGCTAGGTGTATTTTTAAGTGGTCAAACCAAAGATACCATGAACGTAACCACCAGGTCAAGAAATATTACCAGCCTCAGAAGGCTTTCTCATTTCAGGTCCCATTTCTGTCTCTAGACAATGATGAATGAGTTTTCAATGTTGTATCGATTTGTACTCCCACCAGCAGTATATGAAAGCACCCACTTTCCAACATTTTTGCCAACTTGGCATTGTCAGTCTTTTATTCAGGAAAGACCTGACCTTGTGGTTTCACACCTGCATTTCCTTGATGCAAATTAAAAAGAGGTGAAAGAGCTCCCCCTAGTGGGTAAAAATCTGAATTACCTGAGAGTTTTTGTTTTTGTTTTTTGAAGAGCTGGTAGTCCTCCACTACTTCTCATCCCCTGAGTCTCTAGGAATAAAAGTTGACCACTTTGCATAAATTCATTGTCCATTGTATCAGGTTAACCAAAAAAAGTTTGTTTAGTTTTTTTCCATATGGTGGCTCTAGTAGTGCTTGGTTGTCTTTAACTTCATTCGAAACAATTTTGTTAGACTGTATTGTGACAGTTGTCATATCAGTGTGCATTTTTAAAAAACTTATCAAATTGATGAATTTTTGTGATGCCATTTTAATATTGAAGATGGAAGAAAATAAGCAACACTTTTAATGTATTGTGCTTTATTATTTCAAGAAAGGTAAAAACACAACCAAAATGTAAAAAGATTTGTGCAGTGTATGGAGAAAGTGCTGTGACTGATCAAAGGTGTCAAAATGGTTTGCAATGTTTCTTGGTACTTTGACATTTTGGACAAATAATTCTTTGCTGTGGGGCTGTCTGATGCATTGGAAAATGATTAGTAGCAGCTCTGGCCTCTACCCACTAGAAGCCAATAGCAGGAAATAGCTGACATACTCAGAATATCCAAATCAATAAAGTTATTGGTTAAAATGAAAAACGAGTCTTTTATTTTATGGAAAAAAACTAAACAGACTTTGGCCAACCCAATATATCCTCTGTTACACAGTGCTCATTTTTACAGAGTTTTTATATTAATTTATAAAAGTTGTTTAGATTTTGACACAAATTCTTTGTTATTACCCGTGTTGTTGCACACACCACCTTTTCCACCTTTAACTTTAAATACCAATTAATTTTCAGCTCTACAAACAGGAGGCTCAATCCAAGTTCGATTTTGTTATACTCAAAAATGACCAGCAGATGACGCCCTACCCTTGCTCCTGAGCCATAACATGGGTGGTGCCTGAATTTCCCCTAAATGTCCCCAAATACTTTGCTAACAAGCGATGTTAAAGAGTAAGAAATCAAACCTTAAACCATTATGTAGCTAGATGGAATGCAGATAAAACTGGGCCTCTTGGTGGGAACAACACATTAATCTTTTTTTGCTCAGAATGAAGGAACGAAAAGGTCTTTACCTGAAGGCAGGAAAGCCAGGTGAGGCTGAGGGACAGCAGACAGGGCATGAAGCAGAATCCATGGCAATTCCCTCCGAGAGTCACCTGCAGGTGGATGGAAGAAGAGAGTAACTAGCATGCATTTGGACAAAAGGGAGGTGCCCACTAGCACAGGCTGCAAGGAGAGGTGAACAGGGGTTTGGTCAGCGGGGTATAACTGTTTTTCCTTTGCCTTTCCCTGATTCCTCTTTTTGGTTTTGTTTTCATTAATTACATTTTGTGATTGCTTAAAACTGACTATGGTGAGCCTCAGAAAACTACTGGGAAACCAGTCCCACTTGTTGGGATGGAAAAATGGTGTGTGTAGGGTCAACATGTTTGAGTCCTGAGGCCTGGTAGGGGACCAGCAAGCAGCCTGCCTCTCTCTGCCTCTCCTGCCTCCTCTGGAGACCGAGGGTCCTTGACCTAAGTTGTTTCAGCTCCTGAGCCTTAAGGTGGACCGACCCCTTGGCTACTTTCCCATGAAACTAGACAGAGAGATAACGAAATAGACCTCGGAGCTTCCCATTCTCCTGCCATTCATAATAAAATAGCCAATATTTCTCCACTGCATTTTCAGTGTGTAAAGTTTGGCTCTGCTAGTACCATGGGGATGAACTCCTGCTCTGTAACAGACTCGGGGTGGATGCCCCCCTGAGCTGGCCTCCAACTGAGATGGTCCATCCTCCCTCCTCCACTAACCCCCTCCCCAATGAATGAGCGAGTGTATGAGTGACAAGGTCCTAGCCTTCCTGAGCTTAGAAATCAGAGCACATAAACCCCACACTCAAAGGAAGACTCAGGGAGAATTCAGGTGTGTTGGGCTGGCCAAAAAGTTCAAAATATCCAAATCAATGAAGTTATTGGTGAAAATGAAAAATGTGTCTTTTATTTTGCAGATATATCTAAATGGACTTTTTGGCCACCCGAATACTATATAGGTAGAGGTAGCAACTCCAAGAGGAAACGAGGAGGAGCTGGGTGTGAAGAGTTAGCTTTTGCTCAGC